TTTTAGGCTTTCAACCCCTAAAATTAAGTATTCTTAAAAAGTGCAATATTTAATATGTATTTAATGTGTTGAATTTGGAGCCATGAGAAGATTGCTAGCCCATCCTAGTACACTGTAAAATTTTCTGGAGATCAGCAAAGTTACTACACTTGAAGTTGTCCCAGGAGGAACTCTCAAGCAATACTTTATGAAAGGTCTGACAAGAGGACAATTCTGTCATTATAAGGGTACTTCTGTGTTCTCATCGATCTACATCTTCTCTCTAATTGTGAGACCTAAAAATCTCCAAATTAAATTATGCCCATTTTTTCACTTAGCAGACTGTTCTTGAAGAGCAGACATCTTCTGTAACTTTTGACATCTCAGAGTTAAAGGCTAACCTAAGTTAGTCACTTAAATACAGGTAATGTGAAGAGACAGTACGTCCTGATTCCTCTTTTCTTAATGTAAGTCCCTAATACAGGACCGTCCAAATGGAGATTTATCCCACCTATTTCTTTGCACTGGTGACAGGACAGTTAAGAACTAATTTAACCTACCCAGTGGTCTTTGAGCTTTTAGAGATTAAAGTCAGGTAAGAGAAATTTTCTACTAGTACTTCCTGCTGAGGGAACAGTCTGCCTAGAGGAAAAATCTCCTAACACCTCTTCCAGCAAGTAGCTGCCAAAATTATACCAAAATTATACTCAGAACTGAGGGCTGTAAGCCAAATGCCAAATAATCCAGGGCACTTTTTAATTTGCGTATATTTGCTATTAAAAATATGTGTAGTATGTGTCTAATTATTTTTTTTCCCTTAGGTAATAACTTTCATGAATTGATCTGATTTATGCAGCTAGGACAAAACCAAGTATCAGAGACCGAGAATTTCATGACACTATTTGGAAATTTCTTCCTGTGGATGTGAGGAAGAATCATGCCTCTGAAACTCAGAAATACGGACATAACCTCAGCTGGGAATGTTGACCTAAGGAGTTACAGGAAAGTGTATATGACCTCTAAATGCTCTCTGAGCTAAAGTCTAGATGTTTATACTGAAAGGAATAAATTGCTTCTTGAAAATAATGTATTACTCATTGGTAAAGATAGTTGTATATTTCTTTCTTGGCTCAATTTGTCTCCTGTTTACTTTCTTGTATTGTTCCTTGGATGGGACTCATCACCTACTGAAATAGATGTATAAAGTGGGCCAAATTTCCACATAAAACTGAAGTCCCTGCTGATCAAATTGCATAGTACAGAGTCAGTATAGATATTCTGAGTATGAATTACCTGGCAATGGATAAATAAATCAATAAATAAAGCAATCAGGGAAAACTAAGTTATTCAGTAATTGTTTTAGTGAATGAATATAAACTGAACCTAGCAACTGACCTGTGGAAGGTAAATAAAAACATTAAATGAACTACAACAACTAATGTGACATACTTGGTAGTAAATGAAATGAGCTGCTTGTCAATTCTGTATACTTTTGCCTATCCCAAAAGTATATAAACGGTGTTACATAGATTTAAAAAGATTTGAAGAATATAGATAATGTTCTCAGAACTAATATCCATTAGTAACTATTTTCCTCAATATTGTCTTAATATTGTAAAAAAATTGAGGACCCATTGCTTCTGAAAAAAATGTATAATGACCTAACCATATGGACATGAATGCCAACAGTGAGGAAAATAAAGGTATTTATTCAAAGGAACATACTCATATCAATTTGAAGATGTAGTTAAATGTTTAATTAGTTATCTAGGTTAAAAATATTCAGCCATGGAACACATGGCTTACTTCTTCCTTGATGTCACTCTGCAAGTATAAAGAAAGTCTGAAAGACTGTGGGGAGCTATTTTGTTTCAAATTACTTTATTTTTAGTTATGCATCTTTACATGTGTATATGCCAAGCAAATATGTGTATTTTTTACTTATAAATCTCAGGAACACTGAACTTCTTAATATGTTTGAATGTTTCCTGGTGGTTTGAGGTTTGTACGAGTTCTTGAAGCCTTGATCAGGAAGCCCGAGAGTTGGTACTGCAGCAAAGAGATGCTTCTTCCATGGAATTTCGCCCAGTAGCACTAATTTCTCTCTGTTGACACTAATTTCTCTCTGTGGACTGCAGGCAAAGTCTAGATGACTAGTTTTGTCTGGATGCCTAATTTAACATGGCATTATGGCATTTGTAGAATGATCTATATTTTGGACAGAAATCTTTAATGGTTTTCAAATCTAATCTCAAGGAGGTTTTGCTCTTTGTTTTCCTACAATATCTTGAAACCAAACCAGACCTCCCTGCCTGCTGGTGTAAACAGTGCGAAGATATTTTCCATATAAATTCAAATTTGGACAGAGAAATGCCCCAAATGAACTATCATGTCATCAAAGGTGATCTATTTTCAAGTAATATACTTGCAATAACAATGATTCACTTCAGGATAATATCTTGAGATCCTTAATGAGGGCAGGGACACATGGTACTTGTAGTCATACGTTGTCCATACATGTAGTAAAAGGATTCTTCTTGCCAAAACCTATAGAAATAATTCAACAAAATTACTTATTTTTAACTGTTCATGCCAAAATATTAAAGGGTTCAAAAAACAGAATCCGTTTGGGAAAACTTAGGGAAGTTAAAATTACTCTTCTACCATTCTACAAACATAAATCTAAAATTTTTAAGTAAAGGTAAGCAATAATTCTTGGTTTACTTATTCCCATGATGTCACTTTCAACATAGGTGTGGTTAAAATCTATCTTTTACACTGGATTCATTTTTACAAGATTACTACATGGAAGTAGTTTGCTTTTAGTTAGGATTGCAACCAAAAACATTTTACTATAAAGCTGTGTTATTTGCTCTGTTCAACTGAGAAAAATTCATTTTGTCTGAAAAGTTTCCAAATGTATTGTAACTACCAAATATGTTTTGTAGAGTCTGAAAAAAATCAGTCACGATATTTTCTTAAGCTTGGCTTTATAGAATGTTATCTAATTCTAATAAAAATTCTAATAAAAGCAAACATAAAATTTCTACTAATTCAAATGTCATAAATACATTTCTATATTTTTAAAGATAATAATCTAAATACATACTTCTATAAGTTGCTTTTTCTATGTAATATGTATTATAAGTCCAGTTCTGCATCTATTGAATTATGCTTCCTGGAAGTCATGGGCCTGATATCATCTGTTCTGTCCTGTGGAATTCAGTACAGGCAGGCACTGAACAATGCCAGTCCTCTTTGTGCCTTTTATAGGCGCTGATGGCTGTGAAACATCAGCATCAATCATTGTTGTAAATGATGATTGGGCTGCATTTTGCACTCATATTGTACTTAATTTGCAGATGTATAAATGATTGTGCAGCAGGATGATAAAATGAATTTCTAAGTGTTCTCTTCCATATTTTTTCACAGAAAGCAGCCCTTCTGTGACACTTATAAATTAGATGTCTAGTTAGAAAAATAATCCACTTTTGTCTTCTATCACACCTCTCTCACTGTCAAATAAAATAACTGCTGTACAAGCACTGATGGTTTGATTTGTGGTCAGGACTTTGCACCTGTTCACTGTAAAAAGCAGCAACTGTGTACACAAAGCCATGCATGTCAGTGTGGGAGGAAATGAAGGCAAGGATTCAGGGAGCATGGAGTAATGTTCCATACAGAACTGTAGTGATTGTTCTGCAATCTCAGTGGTATTTTTGTGTCATTTTATCCGGTTGTAATGTTCTTAATTCAGTTAAGTATACTGAAAAAATCCAGAAATTTCCCTCTGCCTTGGTCATAACTAAAGTGGAATCAAGAGCTGTGCAACACAGACAACCAGCATTTGACATTATCTGAATAACTGTTAGAAACATCAGGTTTCTATAAATATGGGATGAGTAAAGGATCGTAAATTCTTGAAAAGTAAGGGCACCCAATGAAAGACTGCCAGTCTTGACTAGTGTTGAATGCTGGAGAACTCATGATGTTCCTAGATATTTTTACGATGATTGATTGTTGCCACTGGTAAAATTGTTTCCTCATTTCCACTGGGGATTGATACAGTTTTTCACCAAGGAATCTTGCTCTACTCCCATCTGATAGAAGGAAGTGCCAACTGCTACCAGAAATTTTATCTCCAGATACCTGCAGGCTGTGATCAAATCAATTCTTAACCTCACTGACAAGAAAAGTAAATTGACCCTGTTATATCTTTCATGTAATCTGCATGAATAGAATTATAACAATTTTGTTTTCCAATTTTCAAGTACATTTTGAAACATTGACAGAAGTAGCAGCTTCCTAAGCAGCTACTCTTGACTCCTAGTTTTACTTCCTTTTATCATACATCTAAAGGGCTATAGCAAGAGCCTACTTTGATTGCTTGTATTTAGCCAATGAACCATGAGGTCCTGTGTACCTTTTCCCAGTTCATTGATTTCCTGAACGCAGTTTTTCAATTTGTGTGTGATCTACATTTATTTTATTGCATTTGACCACATTGGGATATAACTAAGGCTGCTCTAATGGTGTGACTCCTTTTGTTCCATAAAATTTATGCAAATTAATGTTTTCTATCTCTTTTTTGGAGTCCACAATTTTCTTCAGCAACAAGTTTATACTTTTTTCCATATTTTTTGTCAAGATATTGGATGGCATTGAAAGAAAGCAAACCCACTTGGAATTACACTGAAAATATGCACACTGAATACTGACTGTCTTCAAGTTTTCCGATCACCCAGTTTTTAATCTTTTGATATGTTTAATACCTTTGTTCTGGTCTTTTATGACTGCTATTGGGTAGTCCTCAGCTAGTACAAATCTTCATGTGTAAACCATTGTGAGGTTGGCTGGTTATGAATGTTATTTGTCCTTGTAAATATCAGATGGAACGGTTCTTGTGACCTGTTCAGAGACATCATGAAGCAGAAATTCCTATTTTATTCCTCTCCTTTTAAAAATTCATTCTTATATCTATTTTTAATGTATTGCCTGTCTTAAAATGACCAAAGATGATATTGTGGTCAGTTGTTCAATTTTATTTTAATATCATATACAAAATATCCATTCTACATTGCCACTTAATATATTTTATATAAAATCCAATGTACAGTATCTTAAATTTGTTTAAATAGTATTATAAACATAACTTTCAGGAAGAGTCAGTCCTGGAGTGAAGCAGTTCTGTTAATTACAGTTCCTTTTGATATCCCTGCTGTTTAGTAAAAAAATCCAACTTAGATTATAGAAACATCCTCACTGCAAGAATAAACTCTCAGATTTTTATTTTTTCTTTCAACTTTGTGTTTCCCACACAGCTGGATAAAATCCAGTGCTGGGGTGTCCAGTTTGAATGTCATTTGTTATCATCTGCTTCAGAGCTCATCTTCATCTGATAAAGCGTCAAGGTAATCTGTGTCAACGTAGAGGAGAAATCCAGAAAACAAACTGTCTGCCCACGTTGGATCAGAAAAGAGACCATTTTGATCAGTGTAGAAGATCTCAAGCCATACTTCATCTTCTGGCTGAAGGTAGATCACCGTGGATCCAGAAGCTACGTCATGGTTGCCTGTGTTGGCATCAAAAGTCTTTATCCGGTATTTCCCATTGTGGACCAGCCCAATTGCAAGATGCTTGTTTGCTAAGGTGATATCATAAGAAAAGTAATAAATCCCTGGGATGGCACAGATGAACTTCCCTGTGGAAGGGTTGTAATGCTCCCCCTCATTGAAGAGGACTTTATTGAATACAATTGGTAATCTTTCCTCTGGGTAGCTCGTGGTGATACCAACAGAAAAGGCAGATTTCAGCACTATCTTTCCACACTTACAGACCCCTGGGGCACCAGGCTCTCCTCGGTCTCCTTTATCTCCCTTAGGTCCAGGTGGTCCAGCTGGACCTACTTCACCTTTGGCACCAGTCAATCCTCCAGGTCCTTTTTTACCAGAGTGACCTTGGTCTCCTTTCTCTCCAGCTGGTCCTAATGGCCCAGTCTTTCCTCTTAAACCTTCAAAAACATTTTAAGTTAGTTAATCGTTGCACATATCACCTCACTAAATGATTGTGTGGGCTACTGTGTGTGCCTGAACAAACAAGAAAAAGAGGGTCAGAATTTCAAAATACTCCAAAAATACTTTCAAAATCTTCTAGTAAGTTTGTGAAAAGAATGCCAGGTTGGAACAGATGACCAGGCCTCACAGCCTGCAGGTCCTTTACTTCTATATTCCTACTTTTCTTCATATGGCTTGATTACACATTGAAGAATTTTATGTGTAACCAATCTGTTGCTGCCTGAACTACAGGCACTGTTGATAGGAAGGACAGTGGTTTGGCTACCTATGTAGTGATGCTTATGCACTAAATATCTCACACAATTAGAGCATTTTTAGTGTGTACTTAAGTACCTGCTAATCTTTCACTCCTGGCTAAGGTTTATTTGATGCCACACGATTCATTCTTCCCAAACTTTTAGCATCTGTGTGCAGGAAGGCTGGGCATTCACTTTTCTTTACACTGATGTCAACATGTGCATATTAGCCATATCTAAAATATGTCTGCATATTTTCTTTCTCTCACTATATACATACATGCATCACACTTAAACCCACACAGACACATATACACATTCATCATACATCTATTTATATATATGTATGTATGTATAACAGTGATGATGAAATGTCTTTGATGTGTTAGGTTACACAAGTATTCAATACCTGCACTCCCTTTTTCACCTTTTTCTCCCTTCCTGCCATCTCTACCATCTCTTCCTGGAAGACCAATGCGTCCATGTGGCCCCGGGAATCCGCTGGCTCCAGGGGGACCTGCAGGGCCTGGCAAACCAGGGATGCTACAGATGTATCTGGTGTAGTAATTTTCTCCTTTGAGCTGGCTTTGAAGTGGTTGCTCACTCGTATAGATGGCAAAACTTGTAATGTACAGCAACACAAACATCCTCACACCTGGAAAAAATACATATGAATAAGACTGTGCATATTATGTCACATGCAGATGTCTCTGAATATGCAAATAATGTGACATTGTGATGCATTATGCACAAGTATGGGTGCAGAGCTCGATCTGGGATTTCTGCATTACCAAAATCCATGTAGGAGGCAAGGAGGAAATTCTGTCAGGTTGTAGCTTTTTCTGGTCACCCTAAATGTTGCTGTATGTCTCTCAAGTAGCCTCTAGACTGACAATAGTATTACTGGTGAATATCAGCTTTTTTAGGCCAAATGTTGACACATGAAAAAAAGAATCTGGATTTTTCAATTCAAAGTCCTTTGCTTGCCTAGGTTTATTTTGTCTTTAGGCCCTACACAAGCTTTCCAGAGAAAAGCCCTCTTGCTGAGGGAGTTATGTCTGCATTAGGAGGATAAGCCTGTAGGAACAGTCTCTTCTAGTGAGGATAAAGCTTCCACCTTCATTTAATTTTGAGATTTGCCCTTATGGTGGCAAATGAATCTCCAGCTCAGATAACCACAGCAGAAACTTGCTGAACCTGCAGAAAGGATGGCACTAAGAGAGCTTCAGCTTCAGTGCCTGGTTGGAAAGAGCACAAATAACCACTTCACCCTAATCGGTCAGGTGGAATCAGGCAGCTGCCCTGAAGGGGAACGGATGGAGCGTGAATGGGCTGCCAACAGGTTTTTTTCAGCCCTGTCATATGAAATGAACTGTGTTGCAATGTCTTGCAAGAAAATTGTTTAAAGCTTTATACATAGTATTTGGTTGTTTTCATAAACTATTGAATGGTGATTACACTTCTCTGTTCCACTGTATCCTGGGATACTAAAGAAAAGTCACTGTACAAACAGCGACTTGCTGAGGGGTTGCAGTACCTGATGTACAAAGGTGTCTTAATTTAGTGTTGCATGGGTCAGGTGAGAATCTGCAAGCCAAGCTATTTTTTCTAATTCCTTTACTGTCTTCTCATAAAACTTGTGTGGGGTTTTTTGTTGGAGTTGTCCATTCCTTCAGGGCTAATTTACAGCATTCAAAGAAATCATAGTCCACTGGGTTCTGTGGAGAGAAAAAAGAAGAAATAGAATGGGGGACCGAGAAAAATATCTGTGTGAAATGCAACCTACGTTTTTTACAGTGAATCATAGAATCATAAAGGTTGGAAAAGACCTTTGAGAAGATCACCACATCCAACCATCCACCTAGCTCCATCACCATGTTCGCCACTAAACCATGTCACATCCACACATTTCTTGAACATTTCCAGGGATGGTGGTTATACCATTTCCCTGGGCAGCCTGTTCCGATGCCTGACAACCCTTTCCATGAAGACATTTGTCCTAATATCCAATCTAAACCTCCCCTGCTGCAGCTTGACATCATTTCCTCTCTTCTCCCACTTGTTGCCTGGGAAAAGAGGCTGAGCCCCACCTCGCTACAACCTCCTTTCAGGGCATTTTAGAGAGTGACAAGGTCTCCCTGAAGCCTCCTTTTCTCCAGGCTAAACAACCTCAGCTTGTTCAACTGCTCCTCACGAGGTGTATTCCAGACCCTCCACCAGCTCTATTGCCCTTCTCTGGCCACATTCCAGCACCTCAGTGTCTTTCATGTTGTGAGGGCCCAAAACTGGACACAGGATTCAAGGTGTGGCCTCACTTGCTCAGAGCACAGGGGGACAATCACTGCCCTTATGCTGCTGGCATAGTGAATTGATCTAGAAATTCTTGTTCTCATTCCTTTCTTTGTGATACCAATTGGTAGTGACTGACTGATTTAAACTCCCAAGCCACTACATTTATTTACAGTTCATAAGTGCATTTCAACAGGTATTTGCCCTAGTCAGATCTATTCATCATGGAAAAGACTAGCTTATACGCTACATGTACACATATACAGTCTTTATGAAGAATCTTTTCTGTTTTACAGAACAGAAAATTAGAAACTGCCTTGGTATAAGTGGTAATGCAGGAAAAAACATGAAAATGTTTTAGTTGGGGAGAAATAATCGATGCTCCAAAATTCTCTTCAGTGATAAAAATTCCGCTTTTCATATTAAGCATCTTGTGTCAAATTGGCAGAAACCAAACTATTGATTTTGCCATCATTTGATTGACTTACAGACAGGCACAACAGCCTCCATGAGTGGATTTGCATATGAATGCTTAACATTACAACAGAGCAGCAAAAGATAACTCCAAGGCAGTTAGCTACAAGCACAACCTTCACAGTGACGTTTGCTCTGATGTACTACTGAGCGAACCCAAATAAAGCTTATGGATTTTCACAGGACTTAAATCAGGGACAACAAAGCTCTCTGCAGAGAAGAACAACTTTAAACACATAGCCAGGAGGGAACAGCTTGGGGGGAGTTCATGCTTAAGAATGCATATGCATTTTACACAAAGATCGTGGATAAGAAGCAGACACAAGCTAAGGATCCAGGGCTGCAAAAAAATTCTGCCCTTTGCCAGATGAAAGTCTAAATCAGTAGGCCAGGTGTTCCCACACTGTGTTGCATGTAATCCAAGCAAAAAAATTCTCAACAACTGCTGGTTTTGCCTGTGTCCAGGATCTTCTACAAATCAGAGTAAGAGCTGACACACAGCTGCTCCTGTCACTGGCTGGCTGGTAACTTATTGATGTGTGACTCTGTCTCCAGCTCCCAGACCTCCGCCGCTGTTCTTCTCAGGTGCCTATGGGAAATTAATTAGTCTGGGGCATGTATTTCTGAAAAGAGCATGGGAAAAAGGTCATTTGGGGAAGGTGAGAGGAATGGGATTGTTGAAATAGGAATGTGTCTTAGAAGCCTGGGGTGTTGTGCTTGGACAACCAATTTCGGAAGGAGAAGACGAAGCTTTCAGTTATGGTTTGGAGATCTTAAGGGGTGATGGCTCTGCGAAGCAGAATGGTGGGACTGCAGGAAGGGGAACAGGGCTAGATTGGGAGATAATGGGGATAATGTTCAGGTGATGATGTATACGGAACTGAATTTAGTCTTGGGGGGAATACAAGCTGCTTCCAACAGTGGTAGACAACAAATGACATTCAGGAAACTGGACATTAGGCCAGAGAATCAGAACTTCTTTTTCCCTTTGATTTCAAACTCTTCCATTTCTTCATGCCTAGGAGTGGTTGTTTTAAAAGGAGGGGGGAAGGTGACTTTCTGTTCTTGCAGAAGTCTCTGGAAAGTGTGAATCTCCTAAGACCGAGGGAGGATGTGCAGTGCTGAACCCATGCCCCTTGTTTCCCAGTGAGTGCTCTAAAAGGACCATTGTAATGCTAAAGGTGAATAAGAACATACAGCCATGGGGTTTTTTTTAAATTTCAGGCTGAATTAGGAGACCAAAATCAGAGATTTCAGTTCACGTGGGCTTACGAAGTTAGAGGCTGTAATAGACCTCTCAGATCACTTTCTCAGGAGTCATCTAAGTTACACTGATATATTTTTTGCCAGAGAGTTAACTGGTAGGCAGAAAGTGAGTCATAAATTACACTTTGTTCTTGGCCTCTGGTTGTCCTTTTCAAAGATACAAACTTTTGTCCATAAACCGAGGTAGGAAACAGAGTCATTTGCATCTGCCAAGTAATTTTTCTCCAGGGGAAAGCAAAATTTGAACAGTTCGATGTATTTTTCCAAATACTGAAAGCCAGAACAAGCACATTTTTTACAACAATAAGAGTCATCTTCATCATAACCATCACTAAAAATAATAAGAAGAATTGTATGAACACAGGGTTAGAATAATGTTATTCCAAGTGTAGGAAATGACATTTCAGTAAGTTTCAAATCTACTGGGCAGAGCAAGAGTGCACATCAAGACATTCACTGGAAGGCCATGGACATGCTGATCAATTCTATTCATAGAATCATAGGATGGTCTGTGTTGGAAGGGACCTTAAAGATCAACTAGTTCCAACCTTCCTGCTGTGGGCAGGGACACTTTTCACTGGACCAGATTGTTCAGAGTGATTTCTGGAATATATTTTCTAAGTGAGAGTGGCGGATTCCTTTGTTCTGTCACTGTTCAAAAGGTCATCTCATTTGTTTGGTATTGGAAAAACACTAAAAAGCGATTCTGGATCTAATACCTTGCTGCAGTTAAGGTGGCAGGTCTAAAGAATCCAAAGCAGTGTGACCAGCAGGTTGAGGGAGGTGATTGTGCCCCTCTGGTCCGCTCTGGTGAGACCCTACCTGGAGTACTGCGTCCAGCTCTGGACTCCCCAGCACAGGAAAGACATGGACCTGTTGGAGCAGGTCCAGAGGAGGGCCACAAAGATGATCAAAGGGCCAGAGCACCTCTCCTATGAAAAAAAGCTGAGGGAGTCAGTACTTGAACAGGGCTCTTATAAGAAAGATGCCAACTGACTTTTTGGTAGGGTCTGTTGCAATAGGAGAGGGGTAATGGCTTTTAACTAAAATAGGGTAGATTTAAACTAGACACAAGGAATTGCAGGGGGGTTGGACTAGGTGACTTTTAAAGGTCCCTTTTGACACAAACTATTCCGTGATTATATGTTCTACCTTGAGAATGTACTCTGTTTAGTTGCATTCCCATTGAAGCTAGGTGCTGGGCAGAGGGTCTTTAACATCAAGATATTAGGAAATCTCATTTCAATACTGGTATAATCTATGTCATTAACATTTTTTTAAATTTAGGAATTAAGGAGTTGTAGAAAATTCCCAGTTTTGAGACTTCCTAGTATATGATCTAATCTTTCTTCCTTGTCCAACTATGCAGAGCTAATTCTAAAATTTACTAATTTGCACTGTTTTGAAACAATCCTAGGATATTTCCCGTGAATCTGTTATAAATAAAAGCTGGGTCAAGGGCCAATAGCTATTAGTCACACGTTATCCTGGCTGTGTTCTTAGTTTCCTTGCTAGCTTTTAATTCCCTTCCAATATATATGCACAACTATTTGAGCAGTAGAACGAGGTGTGTTTTAACTTCCTTGTGCAAGAAGATGTAGACGAGAAGTTGTGATGCTTGTGGGCCTTTTCTGTTGAAGCACTGGCAATGGACTAGTGGTGAAGAAAAGATAGTCTATATATCCTCTGGCTTTCTAAAAGCAAAGGCTCATACTACCTCACATCACTACCTTGAACCCTCGCTGTGAGATGTACAGACCTTCCCTAGCTCTCCTGTCTAGTAGCTGTGGTAGGAGAAAAAGGTGGAGAAGGAGGTAATAAGTTAGGATGAGAAGCAGAGAGGGACATCTTAAAAAATTTGGTTGAAATCTCACTGGCTATGCCTGTCTTTTCCCTCTCAAAACATGATCCACAGAAGTCAGTTGTGTCCACATGCCTGAAGGTTTCAAATCTGCCAATCAATTTGCCACCACCACTGACCTTTCTACATAGCCTCAGAAACAGTGGCTTATAGTTTGGCACACTAGACTCTGCAGTTTCTTTGCAGAGTATGATTTTTGTGCCATTTAAAATACTAGTCTTAACTGGGGATTTTTTCCTCCCCCCTTTTTTTTTTTATTTTCTTTTTTTTTTCTTTTTTTTTTCTTTTTTTTAAACATTTTTCATCCACCTTCAGTTGGCAGCAATTTTATTCATCTCCCAGCTTGTTTTGTGTTATGGCAGCTATGCTGGACTTCCAGAGCTCCACCCATTAAGACCACGCCTTACTTTAAGGAATCAAGGCCACAGCTGGCCCCCACCACACTCCTTGGGTTAGCTACGCAATCCAGCAATCTTCTTGTGGCTTTACACTGTCTTTTGCTTCCCTAGTGTAAGAAATGGAGAGTAACCCAAAAGATTTTGAGCAGTCTGAACTTTCGATTCCCAGTGCTAGAATAGCTGGTGCTGCCCAAAGGAATCAATCAGCCAGTGGGAAGGAACATTAGCTAAATATTCCTGAGAAAATAATTTTTAAAGACCCCACTAGCAGTGTTGACATTTAATGGTCTCACTTAAGTTTGTACTCAGTCATATTTGAGCAGTCTCCTTCATAACTACGTTGAATGCAGTCAGATTCTTCAACCACGTCTCAAGTCTTCATGAAGAAAATGAGTGCTTATAATAAAGACCGGAAGTTCAATGTGTTTGA